TTTATTTTATCATATAGTTATAAACTTTTAGTGTGCTGACAACATCACTAGCAGTTAGCGTTCATGTTAAACACGCAGACAGTGGCACTTTGTGCACTCAGGTTGTGTGCGCATCTGCTGTGGTGATGACCAAGTAATCCGTCTATAGGTTTGTATACTTAAATTAAGGCTGAAATATAGTGCAAATCTGTAAATGCATTGTCTTGAATATGTCTTTTATTAGATTGTTACATAAACATTATAATGTGTCAATGCTTTTTAAACTGGAATACGACTAAACTTCGACTGGTGACACATTCTGCTTTGACTTAGGACCTACTACAGTTAGTTTATATGGCCAATTTAGCTGGACTTGGAGCGATCATTTTAGTTTTTTAAATTTTTATAACTTATGACCTGCTTAGACCTAGTTCAGTCCTGGTTTAGTCCATGTTTATGCCTGATTTAGTCCTTTTGTTCTAACCTGCATTATAGATCACTTTTAAGTTGAAATAGACACAAGGTTAAAGGTGCACTATGTAACTTTTCAGATGGAGAATAGAGCACTAACTTAACACTCGTGACACACAGGCTACTTCTGTTATACACTCAGGGGGCCCACCATGATCAATCTTTATATAGTTGGATTTGGAGTGATAATTTTAGTTTAAATTGTTGCTGTTGTTATAACTTTTGAGCTGCTTAGACCTAGGTCAGTCCTGGTTTAGTCCATGTTTAGACGTTATTCAGTCCCCTACAACAGCTGTTGAAAAAATGCCCCAGTGGTGGACAAATAGAGATGAATCGCGCTATCTTATTTCTCTTTTGTCAACAGCCAACTGCTCCTGTGATCCTCAACCCATCCATCTGCCTTCACCTCCCTCTCCTCCCGCTCCTCCCTCTCTCCGCAAAAGCTCTCTCCACTTTTCTCCGTGTTCTTTCCTTTGTATTGTCCCTTGTGTGTTTGCTTGCCGTGTCGATGCCGGCCTGTCAGATCCAGGAAGTGCTTGGATCATAGGGTTTACCTGCCTGATGGATGATCAAAGCGAAGGACGGGGGAAGGGGGCGGAGCCTGTGTTTTGGGACAAAGAGAGAGGGGTAAAGAGCAGGCCTGTCCCGACACAGACCACAGGGTTAAGAAGGTTCGGCTAAATTTGTAACGCGCTTAAAGTTTGAGGGCCAGAGGAGGTGAGGGAGCACAGCTGTTGCATCATGGTTTGACAATGGACAAGGTGAAGAGTGCAGAGTTTAGAGTTTGTAGAAGGTGACATAGTTATAAACTTCTCTCTTAGGTTTTTAAAGGGCTCATATTACACTATTTTCTGTACGTTATAATGTTGTTTCTTCATCACAAACAGACCTGGAGCTGTATTTTGTTTCATTCACACATGTTTAACACACAAACCCTGCATATTTAGGCTGAGTTCTTCTCTCAAACAGAGCATTTTGAGCTTTGGAGATGTAGAAAGACATAATAAAAGATTGAGTGAATGAAACAAAACACAACTCCAGGTATGTTTTTGAGGAGATAACCACATTCTGACATGGCCTAAAGCTCACAGGAGTCAATTTTGCACAATATAGGACCTTTAAACTTTTGCCATAAGACACATACTATATTAAATTGACTGGTTTGATTATTTTTATGCAGCAAATCCACTCCCCCTTGCTCCTCCAGACACTTTTTAAGCCTTCCTGCCATGATATTCTATTCTTTACTACTGCATGTCTGGGCAGGTTCCTTTATTAGCAAACATTAGTTCTAAAACATGAGATGCTGAAGAAAAGGGGTTGTAGAGCATGTGGTCTTTAAGTGGTTTGAAATTAACCTGGTACAGCTCTAGTTTAGATCTGTAATAGTCCCATTAAAACCTGGTATACTGTAGATCAGGGGTCTCAAGCCTTTTTACACCAGTGAGCTACCTTTACAAAACGAAAATGCCAGAAAGCTACCAGTGTTAGCAGTAGGGCTATAACAATAACCAAAATATTGTGATATCGTATCGTCAAAGTTCTCACAATAATATCGTGGACCATCACAATATATCGAATTACAAGTTTCTTTGCTTAAATTAAGAGTTATTGGGCAGCAATAACTAAAAAAAGACAGAGGGAACTACATAGACCATGATCCTTTGCTCCATTTCAGTGCAGACTATAAGAAGAATTAACAGGTCTAAGCAATTAAGTGTCTTAGTTCTTTGGATTATGTCTTGTCAAAGCTTTTTAAGAGGAAAAAGAAGCATATGAACAGTTTTCTTAGCCTCCACAAAATATCACAATAAATACTGAACCGTGAGATGTAAATTATGAAAATATTGCGTAAATGTCGTAAGAGATTTGGATATTGTTACATCCCTAATCGTGAACCTCCCCTCCATATCGTGAGCTTTCCCACAATATCGCAATAAATATCGTACCGTGAGGTTTATACCACGACAATATCGTATTGTGAGATTTGGATATCGTTACACCCCTAGTTAGCAGTCGCAAGAAACTGAGTAAATATAAGAACCACAGCAAGCCTTAGATGAGGTACAGTTAGATGCCTATAAAACATAAATCATTATCCATAGTAGGGCACAAAGTTAGGCATCAAAATAAGACATGCATAATGATAATAGGCATTTAATTACACAAATTTGACTCAGCACAATATGTGTAATTCAGAAATCCTTTGGCACGCTACTTGGAAGGGAGTGGGGGAGACACCTGTAACTCCCGGGCTATAGGTTGGTCCCCTGCTGTTGATCTTATGGTAAATAGAATGACAAATATTTTCTTGAGTAGTTTCTGAATCACTGAAGTAAAAAGCTGAATGGTCAAATGTCCTCAAAATGGCGCCCTTAACAGCAAAAAGTGGCTGAAACTCATGAATATGCTTACACCAATAGGCAATATATATACTAGTATTTTGATGCTTGGTTTGTTTATTTGAAACTTGAATTTATTTAAGATTCTTTGACATTGTGAGGGATATGAATCCACTATATTTTCATGTTTAAACTCTGGTTAGTACTTATTACCTTGATAATTGCTGCTTAGTCACTTGTGACCTTTAAAGATGCACTATGTAACTTTTCTGGTGGAGGGTTTGCCAAATCCTCTTCTCCATGAAAATGTTATTGCATTGTAATTTTGTTTCACAATATGTTGTATGTCAGAATGCCTGTTTTTGTATGTATTTTTGAGATATAAAACCATCTGTAATTCAATAAATGTAAGTTACACACAGAGCAATGACATATCCATAGAAACAAGCAGAAAAGTTACACCGTGCACCTTTAAAATTCTAATTTCTATTACATTTTTGAAGACATAAAAGCATTCAGTTAAAATCTGATGGAATCTTAAGGCTTTTCACTCCAGTAAGCAATAAAAAAAGTGATTTTTCTAAAAGTGATTATGTCAAAACCCACACAGGTAGAGTTACACTAATTGTAATAGTCTATAATGTTGTTGGATCAGTCCCTCTGGTATTTCAATGTTGGTCCTGGGATTTTCCTCAAACCCAAACAGAGCAGAGCAGGTCCAGGCCAGTCCCTCGAGTCCAGTTTGTCATCGGCGTCTGGCCTTTTCAGGAAATGAGCGAGAGATGAGTGAAAAGAGGCGAGGGAGGACACACAGCTGTGCACCATATGGAGACTATTAGAATCAATGGAGTAACATGTACAACAGTGTTCAGGTGGATTAGTGTCTTTTGATTGAGCTTTGAAAGAGGATGACGTTATCTGGATTTGAAAATTAGGGCTTGAAGTACAGAGAAAAAAAAAGAAATCAGACTGTTTGGACTATTGGGTCATCATTTTTGTCAGTTGAAGTTATAGTACAGTGATTTGGAGAGTCTTTATGCCACATCATTTACTATATGATCAGCTGAGTGGGCAGTTTGGGTCGTAGGGAGTATTATATGCACTTGGGTGAGGTTTGAACCAGTTTCCATGTGGGTAGAGGTGGAGGCTTGACCTTTATTTTGGTCACAATTCTTCCATGTTTTGTTTATTTATTTAGGTATTTATGTATTTATTATTTGTATTTTTATGAATGAATTTATATATTTTATTTTTTGTGTGTTTAAATAAATTATTTTTTTGCGAAGGTTTAGCCCGGCTAAAAAAAAATCTATTAAAATAAATAATCAGAAGACCAGCTGAACCTCATTGGACCATTTTCTATATTGTTTTACTTTCCCTGTCAAATAAAAATGAACTTAAGTCATTTTGTCAAGCTTAGTTAATCCTGAAAATACTTGAATACTTCGGGAGTCAATTATGGCTCACCAATCTATTTATAATAAGGAGATTGATTTTATAATAAGAAATTACCCTTAGAAGGAAATCTGCCCAGTACATTTGGGACCCATCTCCTGATCCGTGCTGGGACTTTTTCTATCTATAGCCTGTAGATGAGCCTATTCAATCACATCGCATATTTCTGTTGATATGGGAACCTGGAGTATCCCCAAACACAGGGATAATTTACAGACTATCTTAAAGGTCTTGTCTTACGCAAAACTGACTCTTGTGAGATTTACGTCATGTTGTAATGCTGTTACCTCATCAAAAACAGACCTGGGGTTATGTTTTGTTTCATTCACACATGTTTCAGTAAGCTCAAAATGCTCTGTTCCACCTTGTGATGTCATGAAGCAATAGTTTTAAAGTTAGCTGCTGCTTCTTTTACCTTTTCTTCAGTAGAGATTTGAAATTCCTAGACTGAAATTATCCAAATGATTCGAGTGAAAGTGAATGGAGTTTAAAAACACAGTGGAGCACTTCTTGTATTATCACAGTATTTTCTGTTTGAGAGAAAAACTCAGCCTAAATATGCAGGATTTGTGTGTTAAACATGAGTGAATGAAACAAACCACAACACCGGGTATTTTTGTGATGAGGAAACATTATAACATATATCATAATATGACGTAGTATAGCGTAATATGAGCCCTTTAATCATTACCATTTAAAGTTATGTTTGTATGGAGACATGTTTGCTAATCCCTACATTGTTGTGTTTTACAGCTCTTCCATGTGGCCTACGTTCTGATCAAATTCGCCAACTCTCCCAGACCCGACCTCTGGGTTCTGGAGCGCTCCATAGACTTTGGGCAGACCTACCAGCCGTGGCAGTTCTTTGCTTGTGAGTATAACTAATTCTACTGTTACTGCAACGACTACCACTATTACTACTGCTACTACTATTACTACTAGTACTATTACAAATATTCTTATATGGATTGTCCTATGACACTGTTGGCTTCTGACAGTTCTGCTTGTGTATCTTCATTGTTTTTCATTACCGCAAAATCTCCATAGTAACAAAACATATTTTCCTGGTCCCACATCTCAAGTAAAGAGCCGTATTACTGTTAAACTTTTTTTTTATAACCAGCAAGACGATATAAGAATGATGTATTATGATAAACATTTTCAAGGATGGGTTATCTGTTAAATCAGTAGGTTTCTACAGAAATCGGTATTGAAAATTTGATTTTTTTTCTGTCCTGTACCAGAGTATGTGCTGATGTGACATTCCCACTCTGTCTTTTGTGGTTTGTCTTTACAGATTAATTAGTAAAAATGTGTCTGTTTACACAATCATGCAGCAAATTATCATATGATTTTAGATCCTAGATAAATATATTTTGTTTTTATTTATTAGAATTTGCATATTTGTGTGTATTATGTTTTTATTTTAATATTTAACAAGTCAAAAACAAAAAAAGACATAAATAAAATTAAATAAAAGCCTCCCACTCCCCACCCCTCTCTACCACATGCTCAACTTTACAGTAAAACTTTACTTAAATTACATTTGCGGTTGTTGCCATGGATTTAAAAAATGCACTGACAGATAAATATTGCTTATTGACCACAACAGAAAGACAAAAATCTAAATTTTTTATTTTTTTTTTATCATACCAGACATCAACAAAAACTACAACCTGTTACTTTATAGATCATCTATTCAGCGTCATATTTTGTTAACAGAAGAACTTTTTTTGCATTTTGTCAATTTGATGTGACTTATTTTATTAGGCACTTAAAGGTTCCCTGTGTAACTTTTCTGATGGAGGGTCTGTCAGTTGTTGGTCTCCATGGAGATTACTGTTTTGCCTTGATTATTACACAGTATGAAAATAAACTTGGTCAGATCTATGGAGAAGCAAGCCTGCACCTGGTAAAAATTTGTGTTTTAAAGGTATTTTTGAGATGTAAAATGTATTTTTGAGATATAAAACACCTGGAATTTAACAAATACAAGGGAGACATGTTTAATACCCAATTGTGGAACATTCCAGGCAAAGAAATTACATCTCCATGGAAACAAGCAAGTACAGGACCCTCATCTTAGAAGCTACACAGTGCAAGTTACACCTTTGATGATTTTTAACTTTAGATATTTGGAGACATGCTGCTGTCAGATTCTTTCTCTATCACCTCATGCTCGACTGTCTTCCTCAAGGCGGTGGTTCAATTCCCGCTCTGATCTCAAAGAGCGGCCCGGGGCCAGCGTTTTGATTGGCCGTGTCACGTCTGGGGTCAGCTAGAAAGAAAGCGCATTACATCACCACGCCGGCAGCTGATTGGCCGAGGCAGCTGTCAATCACGGGGGGCTTCGGGGGAATTCCAGTCATGCTTCTGAACAGGTCCAGGCTTGAATTTACCTGGAAAAGAGAAGAAAGAGGAGAGGGTAGAGAGTGGCAGAGTTTTCTAACAAGAATGACATGCTATGCTTAAAGTGAAATATACAGAATTTCAAAATAATATTAATAAATGGACAAAAACAAGTATCTACTAGTATTTGCTTGTGGTAGTCTCCTAAATTTCAATTTCAGGACAAATTCTAACCTATAGATTTGAGAATTTGCTTTCCAGTTGTTGGGCAAATGCTTAACCCGCTGCACCACCACCGTTGTCCCTTTCTTCTTATAATATCAGGTGATAAATTTAAGTGTTACTTGCGTGTGTGAATTCTTTCCAATCTAATCACAGGGGGAGATATAGAGTGATAGAGAGAGCAGAGAATGAACACCTGGCTTCTTTGTGTGGTCTATACATATTTCAGAATTAAGTGTTGCAGGATTTAGTGCTGAAAATGTCACTTTATTTTGAAATCCTGCAGCCTTCAGACACTAAATCATGCTTTTGATTTGGCAGTGTCGGTTTCAGCTAAGTTTCAGTTATTCTTTCCTCAAGGACAAACTGCTGATTAAATGTAATATAATAAATAATGATAGTGGGAGAGCGTGTTCAGTGTGCTTCCAGGAAACGGTTATTTTAAACACCTGACAAACTCAAAACTGACTAAATGTTCAGTACTTTGTCACTTCAACTGTGCATTTTTGTGGTCACAACTATGAGAGAGATTCAGTACAACTCATTCATTTTCATGTGCATTTGTTTTGAGCCATAACTAGACGTCGTATAGTAGACTGCTATCTTTTAAAATGTGAATTAACATAGTTTTAAAGTAATTCAATTATTGAGAAATTATTTTCTTGATAATATTGGCTATTAAATTATTTTTTTTAAATACAGGCAAAAAGAACCATTCAGGAACTGGTATCGAAAAGCAGGTATCAGTATGGTTCTGGTATAAAAAAAAATCTAATAATACCCAGCCCTACAGTGGTTCTAGCATTTGAATGTTGTGTGTTATAGACTCACGAATCTCAAATGACTAATTACACATCATTTCACATTTTTTTTCACACTCTAAGAGAGACTGCATCGAGCGCTTTGGCCAGAGGACCATCGAAAGAATCAACCACGACAATGACGTCATCTGCACCACAGAGTACTCCCGCATCGTGCCCCTGGAGAACGGAGAGGTGACACTGACTATATATATATATATATATATATATGTCACTTATGTTATAGTCAGCCTGTAGAAACGACACATCCTTAGGTTTACAAACAGTGTACATATCACATTAAACTTAGAAAAACTGAGACAACAATATGACTTAACCGCTCAATGGCCTAATGTATACCTCATAACAAGGTAGCTTTAAGATCATGGTTCCAGAGGTGAATAGTTTTCTCTTTAGCGTTATGAATGTGCACTGTGTACAACTCTAAATAAGCAATTTCAATAAATGACACATGGTGAGATAAAGAATGAGGACGTTTATTGCACCCCAGAGAAGATCCTTCAGTCTGTGAAGGGGAAGCAGCTAATTTGAGAGGGGAGAGAAAGAGAAAGAGGTGGTTGTGGGAGGGGTATATGATTTGTTTAATTTTTGTTCTTGTTTTATATTGTGTTAAAATCAATCTTAAAATAAGGAAAAAAGAGGCAGGGAGTTTATTTGTTACATATGTTATTGTCAGCCTGGAGAAAGCACACTCTTTGTTACCATATTGAATCCTCACGCTCTCCCTCCAGATCGTCGTGTCCCTGGTGAACGGTCGTCCTGGAGCCATGAACTTCTCATACTCCCCGGTGCTCCGAGAGTTCACCAAAGCCACCAACATCAGACTGAGGTTCCTGCGCACCAACACTCTGCTTGGCCATCTGATGGGCAAAGCTCTGCGCGACCCCACTGTGACTCGCAGGGTAAGGAGACCATCCATATAGCAGTACTTTTAAAGGGCTAATATTACACAAAACTGACTCTTGTGAGCTTTAAGCCATGTTATAATGCTGTTAACTCATTAAAAACATACCTTGAGTTGTGTTCTGTTTCATTCACACATGTTTGAGTTTGATGTTTGACATGTTTGAACATCTCAAAATCTCAGACTGCTCTGTTCCACCTTGATGATGATCCAAATGATTCTAGTCAAGGTGTATGAAATTTAAAAACACAGTGGAGCACTTCCCATATTACCACATGACATCACAAGGTGCAGAGGGTTTTCTGTTTGCAAAAGGAACTCAGCCTAAATATGCAGGATGTGTATTAAATACCTATGAATGAAACTAAACACAATTCCAGGTATGTTTTTGGTAAGGAAATAGCATTATACAGGGTTCCCACGGTCATGGAAATCCTGTAAAACTCATGGAAATTGAAAAGGCCATTTTCCAGGCCTGGAAAGTCATGGAATTTTGTAAATTCAATGAAAGTTTTGGAAAAATCATGGAATTTTAGTATCTCTTTCACGCAACTACAGTGTTCTGTTTAAGTTATCATTAGCAGTGTTTCCCACAGAACATTTGGGAAGGCGGCGTGGAGATTCCGTGCACGGAGAAGAAGTGAAGAGCGGGGGTGTGCAGACATTTCGTGCGATGACCGTAGTTTTGCGAGAATTCACGTGATTCTGAGGGACGTAGTTAAAGCGGGGGCCATTTGTTATCAAGGCGGCCACCCTAACTATAAAGTGCTGTGGGAAACACTGATTAGGCTGTTGTGATTATTTCCGAACATATGCGCCTTTTGTTTAAAAGAGATGACAATAAATGTAAATAAATAAAAATATAAATAAATAAATATGTTGCATTACAAATTAACACTCACTCTGGTTACTGAGCTCATCCTCTTAGAAAACGTGACAGATATTTGTTTTCTGCAGTGATGACATCCATGTTGACCATTAAACATGCTTTCCCAGAGACAGTCAAGTCGACTCTTGACTGAAAACAAGATCACAACAGTTACATACCACTGTGAAATATGAATGTGAAAATAAGTGTGACTTTATCTCCCATCTGACGTGAGCTGTCTTCTGATCCACTCCATCTGATTCTTATCCATTGTCTGATTTTTAACCACATGTCAGTCCTTTTCGCATCTGTGAAATTGCGCGATGACACAGGAATTACTGTCTGGGTTAGTGTTTTGCAGTAGTTTTCCAATCTCTGCTAATGTTTGTTTTGTACAGAAAACAGAAACAAGTGTCTGGGATAGTGTCAGGCAGTCGGTTTCCCATGATTCTTAGTAAAAATGTACCTGACTGGTTGGCTTCTGAATTAATAATTACCGAAATTGTAATGAGAAAACCTATATGTATAATGTATAGAATTTATAGTCATTATTTTTTTTCTTATTTGGCGTTTTTTTCCCCATACAATTCATAGTGTCATTTAACTTAACAAAAATAAATTAAAATCAGATACAGGTTCTTTAAAGGTGCATTGTGTAGCTTTTCTGGTGGACGCGCCATTACATTTTTTCTCCTTGGAGGTGTTATTGCTTTGTCTGGAAAGTTTCACAGTATGATATTAAACCTTTCTATCTTCATGGAGACCAAACCAGACCAAGTTACAGATCAAATCTGTGGAGAGGCGACCCCGCTCACAGTTTTTCTAGGTATTTTTGAACTATAAAACCTCCTGTAATTGAATAAATCTAAGGTAGAGCTGTTTAATGTTATACCGTGGAACATTCCAGGCAGAGCAATGACATATCCATAGAAACAAGCAGGTGATGGAACAGCAACAAAAAGTTACATAGTTCACCGTTAATGAGCAAATATTAAGAATGATCAAAGACGCTTTACATTGGCAAGAAAAAGACAGTTCTGCAAAATACACCAGTAAATAACAAAGACGTTATTGGGAGTTGTATGCAATGTGGAACAGGTGAGTTTTTAACCGATTTAGAAGATTATTAGCCTGATACTCGCAGCATTAGAATTTGTTCGCTCGACGGTAGGCGGATGCTTTTTTTTATTAACCAATCGCTGCTATTTGGTCTTGACGTATGTAATGCGTCACTAATGGGGCAAACTGGTATATTAAGCTTTTCCTAAATCCCGTAGGAAGAAGGACAATAACCCCTTGATAAAATTCACCAAACATTCTCTTTGTTCCGGCTTTAAATCCTCGATCTCGGGAATCGTTGCCAACACAGAATGTATGGCTCTTCGCTGATTGAATGGTGCCCGAACTCGCACTTCCAGGATTCTTGCAAACCATCTAGTGTATTGCGATTCCTGACCTAGTCGCTGGAAAGAAGTTAAATTGAGCCGAGGCACTAGATGGCACCAGCCTGACTAGAAGATTGTAGTTGTTCTGAATTTCTATTGTGAACAAGAACATGTTTACATATAAGAAGGAATGCATTTTTTCCCATGTAGATACTCACATATGTACTTACTCTGTCTGGTACTTTTCTTTGCAGTACAATCTTATCTCCTCTCCTCTTGTTTGTGCAGTATTATTACAGTATCAAGGACATCAGTATCGGAGGACGCTGTGTGTGTAACGGTCATGCCGAAGCCTGCAACGCCAAGGACCCCAACGACCCCTACAAGTAAGACCTGCATACAGTAAATCCACAAAGCACATTATAATCTCTCATATCTCCTCCAGACATTTGCAAAGCTTTGCGACTGTTTTCACTGAATACAGGTCCAAGATATGCCCGACTACAGTGAGATTTATGAGTTAGAAAGAGTGGTGGAAAAGCCATAACTCATAACCTAAGACTCATTTTGTGGAGTTTTAATTACACAAGGTTCATTTCATGTCAGCTTGGTTTGTCTGTGTCTCAGGGCAGAGTTTTGCGTTCTTCTCCTGAACTAAATTAGCGGCAGGATTTGTTGCAACACATAAAAGCATCTAACGTGGAAAACAGACTGTATGCCAACTCTGGGGTTTGAATGCCGTAGTAAATGTCGGGCATGTATGGCAATTAATTTGATTCTGTTGAAATCTGAAATTGTACCAAAACATAATGCAGGGTTAGACTTCCTGTATCTAAAAAGCAAAGCTGCAGGTATTTAGTTCAGTTTAAATTAATCCATAGTTGATGACTTTTGTTAGTTCATTTACAATCCTTGAGTAAAGCATTAAAAATAACATGACCTTTTTACATATTTACTAGTAAAAAAACACTGAAACACTGACAGAAATGCAAACAGTAGTAGGAAGCTATGTGGGTCAAGTGTCTTGCTCAGGGACACAAGTTGTTGGGGATCAAACTGCCAACTAGCTGCACAATATGAGATACTGATCCAATATTTGATAACTATATTTTGTGTTACTATGTTTGAGTACACTTTTGGACAAGTTAAGTAAAATATTATAACAATATTGTGAAATAAATTCCTAGTCATTCAAAACAAAACAAAAACCAAGACTTAATAAGAAAAGCTATGAATAAAATCTGCGTTTTAAAATACATGTTATTGTGTCATTGCGATATCTATATTATTGTAATTTACAGACTATTGAGCACACTTTTCCATAAGCCACAGATACCCACATTCTAGCTTGAGATAAATACACAGAAAGATGGTACACAGAAAGATGTATACTTTTTTTATTACATACCGGTACATGCTTTTCCGAACAATGCTTGTAAAACTACAGTATTATGACAGTATTGTCAGACTACGTCACTTTGTGCTCTACTGCGCATGCCTCCTGCAGAAAGAGCTGCTGTCCTCTTTTTATCATGTCAGTGTCTTGGAGGATTTCAGCAAATTTCAGTCTCTCCTGGGGATGGGACTAGTTGTTCAGGTATGAGTGGATGTCCGGCTACTGAAGTCTGAGACGTTTCTTCTCGTCATTTACGCACTCAACCTGCATTCAACACATACGGGCCATTAAGACATGACATATCCCACTCACTAATGCTTATTTAGCAGCATAACAACGGTGATAAACTGTTCTAGTGTGCTGACAACATCATTAACTAGTGTTGCAACTTCATGTTAACAAAACAAACAATGCCGCTTTCCACTCTCCGGCTGCACGCACATTCTCTGTGTTGATAAACAAATAATTCATCCGTATATTAGCCGCATTGTTGTATAAACCACAGGGTTCAAAGTGTGAGAACACTATACAGTATGATAACTATATTTTAGCAATACTGTTATCCTTCAGAGGAGTCAAGTCAGTGGATGAACATTCGACCAACTGAATGACTGCCACTTATTCCAAGCCGGTATAAATGAAGAGTTTATTGGACTTGGCAGTAAGGGCATCTGATTGTGTTGTGCATGAAATTGCCTAGTACAGAAAAGTAAAAGCAGATTTTAAATGATACCCTTCCATCCTCTCTGCATCTAATTATAAATCAATGCATTGTCCAAGAACCAGGGAGTGTGCTGTTAGCATGCCAGTTACCCTTGGCTTTACTTGGATAACTAGCTTTTCTAAAGGATGGCAAAACTCTGCTCTGAAATCTGAAAGTTGTGAATAATTAGGATTCGGTGAGTCTGCAAAGAATGTGAGGAATAACTTTGGACCTCTGCAAACTATTTAAAACACTCTAGCTCTGTTTTTTAGTGCTTTTAAGACAGTAAAAATCAGGTACAACACCTTTAATAAATCATGTAACTCAAATATCTAAAAAAAAGAGAAACATAACACCCCTTTAAATCCGTGTCCTCACTCTTCACACTTTGCAGTAATAACAGCGTACAGTCAGGTACAGCAGAGGAAGTGTTTTTTATTAGCACATTTACCCAGCACATGTGAATCTGACACACGCAGCCCCGGGGCACAAAAACCCTGTACAAAAGACGACATCACAGCATCAGCCCCCATGTTATTAATGTAATCTGCCCCGCCCACTTCCACCGCGAGCAGACTGGGATTTATCTGACAGAATCAAAACAGGCCCAGTCATGTTCTGTACCTCTCCACAACAAAAGCCAAATGAAGGACGAGCAGTTTTATTTGGCAGAGGTTGTAATCAGAAGTGCACCGTGCTCCTCCAGACCAGCTGCTCCCGGGCTTTTAAAACACACACAATAATAAACAAGACACATCCGGAAACTGTGGTGAGGTTTTAATGAGTTCAGGCAAATGCGGTTGGTTGTCTCTAGTTACAGGTCAAAAAAATTAGGAGATGTTATATTTATTTTAGGAAATATGTTAATTTATGTGTAATTAATAACAAAAATGTGATTGTGTTTCAGTCATGATTTATTGTTTGGTACAGATACAAAAACTAAATGCTTAGAAAACAATGAACAAGTTTAAATGTCTTATATTATGCAAAATGTGAGCTTTTAGTCATGTTATAATGTTGTTACCTCATCAAAAACATACTTGGAGTTGTGTTTTGTTTCATTCACACATGTTTGAGTAATTCTTTTATAAGTCTGTCTACATTTCCAAAGCTCAGAATGCTCTGTTCCACCTTGTGATGCCATGAAATGGTAATTTTCAAGTTAACAGCTACATTTTATCACTTGTTCAGTAGAGATTGCCAAGGCCTGAAATTATCCAGATTATTCTAGTGAAGGTGAGTTTAAAAACACAATGGAGCATGTCCTGTATTGCCACGTGACATCACAAGGTGGAACAGAGGGTTTTCTGCTTGAGAAAACTCAACCAAATAGGCAAGGCAAGGCGAGTTTATTTGTATAGCACAATTCGTACACAAAGTAATTCAAAGTGCTTACAGAATAAGAAATACATTAAAATCATAATAACAACAAATCAAAACATAAATAATCATAAAGATTAAAATTAAAAAAGAGAGACATAAATTAGAGAGAAGAGTGCAGAATGAAAACCTTTCAGTCATATGCACAGTTAAACAGAAATATTTTGAGCCTGGATTTAAACAGCGTCAAAGAAGAGGCCTGTCTCACATGCAGATTCTGTGTGTTAAACATGAGTGAATGAAACTTCCAATTCCAGATTTGTTTCTGACGAGGAAACATTATAACTAGGGCTGCTTGATTATTGAAAAAATCATTATCACAATTATTTTGGTCAATATTGAAATCACAATTATTACACAATGTATTTATTCAGAAATTCTCTCTCTCCCCCCCAAAAAAACAAACAAAAACAAAACACTGTTATTGATAATTTACACAAAACTTCCAAAATGAAAATAAATATAGGCCACAAATATGTACCTTAGAGCAGTTTTGCGACGTATAAAACCTAAAATGAAAATATACTTTAAACATGAAATAAGGTATAGAAAAACTTAAATGTATCCAAAATTAACTATATATATATATATATATATATATATATATATATATATATATATATATATATATATATATATATATATATATATATATATATATATATATATATATATAACATAACATACATCAACTTTGTTAAGCTTTAAATCGTTTCAAAAATCATTCCTCGATTTTATGATTTTGGAGATCATTTGCCACACAATTCGAAATCACATTTAATTAATTGCACAGCCTTAATATTAACATAGATGAGAAATTTGTGTAATATAGGCTCTTTAATACCATACTGCTGAACATTCCAGGCAAAGCTATAACAGCAACAGAAAAGTTACATAGTTCACCTTTAAATATAGAAAAAACCTGTGAAAAACACTGGTTATAGGTCATACAGTAAATTCTGTGAATAAGTCAAATAAAATGGATTACGATTCCCATGATTCCAGAATGGACCAGATGAATGGTTCTCAGTACTTCATCAGTAATCGTATGACTCTTATGTTTGATGTCTGAAGAAAAGAGAGGAAATCCCACCGTTTTAACGCAGGGACCAGTCTGCACGCACCCGAAACACGAAACACGACCTGTATCACTGCTCCATAATCCAATACAGAAATATTGACACTGACCACACATGGATTCACTTCACACATCTGCAGAAGACATTCAGTCATCTGTCTGTGACACAGGAATTTTATGTCACACACTGAATGATATAAAAATAAATACATAAATAAAAAAATAATAATTTAATTCATATCTTAAAAATTTTGGCTTAAGATTTTTTTGTGTTAAATGTATTTGAAAAAAAAAAATAAAAATAAAACATTGCTTTTTGAGTGTTTATTTTAGTAGTAGCAGATTTTAAGCACTGATGAAGTATAGACCAAATGATCATGAAAGAACATTTTACATTTGCATAAGCGGTACTTAAACCAAATTTCTATTAGGGCTGGGTATCATTAAGAAGTTGCCGATACTATACATACTTCGATACATAGGCCACAATACAATACACTTCAATAAAGTGCACTTTCATTTCTATACGATATATTTCAAATCAATTCAATATGGTTTAGTAAAAAAATTAATCATGGCTGTGATACTAAAAGTCTTTGTTAAACCATTTCTTGTGTGAAGAAGAGGTTCAAACACGCCCATTTTAATCATCAAAACAGTGAATATGTCAAATGTGTTGCATAAACCAGTTTCTTTTCACTAAACAAGCAAAAAAACTGTAGCACTGTAACAAAATAATTTAGTAAAATATGCTAAAAAATTTAATTAAACGATTAAACGATACATCAATATTTCGATATTTTTGCACACCCCTAATTGCTATATTTTA